TAATCAACCAGTAATTCTGACATATGACCAGACTAGTGTTCTGAGCTGACTGAAAAGCTGTTGAACTTAAAGATGCTGCTGCTTTCTCCTTAGGGAGATATTCACAGCAAAACCTAGCCCACCCGAATCTGTCAAAGAGCCATAGCCAGGCTTTGGCTTGGTATCACCAAGTGCAGCTTGGTTTATCATATTAAAATTCCCTACTCACCTTCCAGAGCTTGTTAAGTAGCTCAGAAACTAATGCCTTGCTGCTATAAATATTTGTGGGTGAATCAGAAGGTGCGTAGGCCATGCATGCCTGGACAGACTTGTGGGAAACTGTGGTGTGACTTCCTGAGGCCATGCGAGCTTCTCTCATTTTATAGTCTACTTCCATTGGAGTATTTTGATTTCAGTTATTTTTCGATGAAATATAAAGAATGGGAAAACAAAATTAACTATTTTAACCTTATCAGGTGCTGCTAACAACTCTAGTGGTGTGCCAGGCCAGCAATGGTTGGTTGATGGTTAAAGTGCTTTCTCAGCATGCAGGACTCTGGACATCATGGTCACCCTACAGACATCTGTGCTTACTCAGAAATGCCCTCAGATGCAGCTGTTGTGTGGTTACACACCCGCTGTCCAAAGTTTCTGTGTTTCCGTGCCAAGCCTTTAGCTGTAGAACCAACCTAACTGGCAAAACAGGAATGTAACAAACGATCCCTGTGATATGAGTCACGTTAACTATTTATATGGAAGAGGTTGCTAAGGCATTACAGGAACTGCATGCCCCATGTGCGCTGCTGTGACATGTTTCATTGACTTTCCTAGATCAGATATAAATGCATGTTCTTAAATACCCCATTCTGAATTTGAAGTTATAACCAAATCAAAGTATAAATACTATCTTCACTTTAGATTGACTTCATTAATACTTCAAGAGTAAAAAATGATAAAAACTTTACCACTTAAATATACGTTTCCTCCTAGCTATTAGTTTTGTCCTCTCCTGAGGAAAGTGAGTTTTGCTTTTCAGTTCAGCTCCTAGGAGAACATTTGCTTGTCTTCAGCCACAAGAGGCACCAATCTGGGATGTGGTGGTTGTTTTAACAAACTTTACCAAGTTTGAAGATATTACACAGTGAACTTTCTAAGCCAATTCACTTGTGGGATGTCTGACAGTCTCTTCAGATTGAGTCACCTTTTAGGGATTGGCACAATTTGCTCATGACTTTGAATTAATGTATTACCACCTCATAGCAAACTTGCTCAAATTTATTCACTCTGCTAGACGCCAAATATTAATGTTAATTGATGTTGATTTTCTTTAGAAAGTATAAGAGGCTCCAGTCACAATTCAACAATGTGCTACTGTATATCACACTGGGGATTTGCAGTGTAAAAAGAAATAAGGCATGGTTGCCTGGTCTCTGTGGTTACAGGTTGGTTTTCTGTGCTGGGGAGAGGGGACAGACACATACATACACAGGTCATTATAATGTACTCTGGTAAGTACAGTATTATTGAAACACTCAGTTAAAGCTCAAGAAAAGCCCTGCATTTTTCAATTGAACAACCACAGCAGAGCCAAGTTTGCTTCTGCCAGTTGTCTCGTGGGCAAACTGACTCATTCAGTCTTTGCTCATGTTTCAGCTCTCTGTGACCCTGATGCCTTAAGGGCCTCCATTGTGTGAAAAGCCCAGTGGAGAAGTGACTGTCTCACACCTGACACCCATGCCCATTTCTTGAGGTAGAAGATATATCAGGCTACTGTAATCAGTTTTATATTTCTGTGGAGGAACTTCACTAGAGATTGATAGTAAACTAGATATTTTAATAAAGGAGCATCCCCTCCTTGTTTTTGTAATAGCAACAGTTGGTGAGCTTTTCTATAAAGGGCCAGATAGTAAACATTTGAGACTTTGCCCATCGTACATTCTCTGTGGCACGTACACACCCATGCTATTGGAGCAGGGAAGCAGCCACACACAACACACAAACGAGCACAATTCACTCCGGTATAAATTAATTTACAAAACCAGGGGTTTTAGCAGATTTAGCCCTCACGCCATAGTTTGCCTGCCCTATTCTGTAAGCAATACTGTTTACTCTTAACAGATAATTAAGAGCTACTGAAGGGCTGGCTGTCAGGAGTAAACTTAAACTTGGAATCGGGGCACATGTTTCAGGCCTTGAGGCCTAATGCCTCCAACTGCAGTGCTCCTTGAATTCAAATCACTGATTTCCTTTGAAAAATAGAAAATAAGGAGACCGGACAAATGATTTTCACAATGCCCTTGATGATTGGTATTCTGACTTTCTAGAAAGACACAAGGAACTAAGTCTCACAAAGCAAAACTTGAGACGGAAATGTATGAAGTCTGCACTAGTCCTTCCTGGTCTGGATCTAGTAGAAATGTCACTGTATGTAGACAAAATGGGGAGCCCCATGGATTAGAGTCTTGGAGGGTTAGTGGATGACTAGCTCATGGTGGGTAAATGCAGTGAAGTGGCTATCCCAAGAGGCAGGGTGACTTCAGTCTGCTTTAGTGAAGGACAGTATCTAGAACTTTCTTAGATCCTTTCTGTGTCCATGAGAACACACCTCAAGGTTGGGATCAATCCCAGGGTGGTCAGGGAATCCCTACCCTTGCCGTGAGAGAAAGTTGGGGGAAGTGATTTGCTTAGGAGCAGAGAAGAGGTATGAGGAACAGAAATTAGACAAAAGCAACCAAACCTAGAGTTCCTACAGAGTTAGTGACATTTTAAAAATTATTCTGCCGTTCAGATCTAGATTAATAACCTAGACTGCACTTGGCATGCAAGTATTTGTTGGAAGACTGAATGTGTAAAGAACATTCAAGTGGAAAAAGTTTTTTACTTGTTGACATCTCAGAAAACAGAACTAGGGGAGCAGGACAAAGCCACAAAAAGATTGCATGAAGAGGTGGTCTGTGCTTCCAGGTAACTGCGAGACAGTCAGGGTGCTGATGTAGGTGACCCCAGAGTAGCCTGAAGACACTCCTCCCCTTCATCCTGGAGGCAACATGTTGGCTTAATTATATTAAGTTGTCCCAGAGAACAAGCCCACCACGCCACTGATTGGCCCTGTGAGTCATCTATACACATCTGCCTCTTCCTGCCCACATAGGCTTCCTGTCGATGCAGTGTGGGTATGAATGTGTTGAGGTCATGATTGGCGGTGTGTGGAATGGTTTTAGCTACATTTATGTTCTTTCAGTGCATATTAGAAAAAGTTGAACTAGCATATAGAAATTTCATAAATATTATGTAAGACAGTTTTACACTGAAAAAAAACAATTGATTTAATGAAAGGTATTAAGTAAATAATAGTATCTATAATCAGATATGGCAAAAAGGGGAAAAATCTGAATAATTGAAGTCTATGCTATATAAATTCAATTGGACTTTTAAGACATAAAAAGGCCATTTTTGTTTTGTATTTTCCCGACCCTCTCTTCTGCCTATAACAAGACCTTTTTCTACTATACCATATAATCCCATTGCTGGACAAGGCACAGATAATTTCTTTTTCATTAAAAAATATAATTATGAAGGCTGGGCACAGTGGTGCATACCTTTAATCCCAACACTCAGGATGCTGATGCAGGTGAATCTCCGTGAGTTTGAGACCACCCTGGCTGGTCTACATAGCAAGTTCTAGGCCAGCCAGGGCTACATAAAGAGACTGTCTCAAATAAAAGCCAGGCCTGGTAGCTCACACTTAGGATCCCAGCACTGAGAAGGCAGAGACTAGTAAATCCCTGTAAAGTGACCATTCACCCTGGATATTTAGTGAGCTCCAGGCCAGTGAGAGATCCTGTCTCAAAAAGGTAGATATCATCTGAAGAATGACACCCCAAATTGTCCTCTGGTCTGTACATATATTCATATACATTTATGCCCATGCACAGACACACACACACACACACACACACACACACACAAATGCAGTACTGCCCAAATAATAAATTTGGAAAGAGATAGTGGAGAAAAAAAAGACACAGCAAGAAAAAAAAAAGCCTTCCCCAATCGCACCTTCTCAGTTGCTTTCATTCCCTTCCCCCTGTACTTTCTCTGAATCTCTATGCATGCTTTCTGTCGTAGGACTGGTAGACAAAAAAAGACACAGCAAGAAAAAAAAAAGTCTTCCCCAATCGCACCTTCTCAGTTGCTTTCATTCCCTTCCCCCTGTACTTTCTCTGAATCTCTATGCATGCTTTCTGTCGTAGGACTGGTAGACTTTATAGTTTTCATTTTAAATTTAGCATATCAAGTTGCTGTGTTGCAAACTGTCTTTGCTACATTTCTTTGCTCCAACCCTGATGCCTTTGTAATAAGGTGGAGTTTACAGTGTCATGCACATGCTAGAGTTTGCCTGTCCTTAGCAGGCTTGGCAGCCTCGTTTTCTTTGTCTGTGATTGTCCATGTTGTTTTATAATTTCAAGTTTCCACTTGTACTCTCTCATTCCTTTTTTTTTGGCCACTGAGCTCCCTAGGGAGACTTGTATCTTTGGCATTCATGGAAAAGTCTTTCTTCACCCATTCAGAAAATTTCCACAAATCCCATGAGGACTCCATGTCCCTTTGAGTAGATATAGCTGCTTCCCTTGGGCTTTACTTTGTATACATGATGCATTCCCATGACACTCTCTCTTCCTGTAACCTTGCTTTCGACATTTATAATTTTTACATATGCATGTGTAGTTTTATACAAATCATTAATATTTTGCCTATTTTATGCATTATCTGATGGGTAGCTTGGTTTGGGGTATAGGCTGTATAAATGTTCATTTCATTATTTGGGTCAAGAGTGCTGAGATCAGAATTTTTCCAATGTATTTTGGATAGCCTGGTATGAAAACAATCCTTATAATGAGCATTCTATATAAAGTTGAACATGGAAGAAAAATATGTTCAATATCTAGAAAAATGAAAGCTGATTACTCTTTATGTGCGTTTTTGTTTCTTTGTTTGTTTGTTTGTTTGTTTTTTAACAGTCTGGATTACAGTGGGCCTTCCAGAGAGTTTTTCTTCCTGGTATCCAGAGAACTCTTTAACCCCTATTACGGCTTATTTGAATATTCAGCCAATGACACATACACAGTACAAATAAGTCCCATGTCTGCTTTTGTAGACAATCACCATGAATGGTAAGTACTGTTTCTTCAACAGCTATCCTCACTTTCTGTGATGCTGGATCCCACCCCTGTCAATAAGAAGCCCTGTTTCTTTTAACATTCCCCTCTTTGGACAAAATCATAATATCAGTTGTATACTTCATTTGGCTTTTATTTTTGTTACCATATTTATATAGGCAGTCTTCAATCTAGTAATAGGTTATATTGCATAAGATTCATTTTTAAGCTGGGCGTGGTGGTATACACCTTTAGTCCAAGCACTCAGGGGGCAGAGGCAGGCGGATCTCTGTGACACTTAGGCCAGTCTGATCTACATAGCAAGTACCAGGCCAGCTGGGGCTACAGGGGGACCCTGTCTCAAAAAGGGAAAAAAAATCATTTTTAAGTGAGCTGGGCAGAATTCAAAAGCTTTATCCCATAAGAAAAATGTTATGGATGATTTTTTTTTTTCCTAGAAAGACCCCTAACTCTGCAGGGTGAAGCAACTCCTTCAGCAGCCTGGGGAAGTGGCTGGCCCTGGGGGGAGGGGAGGTGGAAGAGCTGGAACTCTGGCTGAGGCAGGTTCATATTTTAATGGGGGGAGGGAGGCGACCTGGAAGAAATAAAGATAAAGGTCAGGGATGGGGAGGTTGAGACACAGCGATGCCCACTCATCCACCTACTCTTTGAGCCATTTAAAGTTTGGGACTAGAGATTGCCTTTTTCCTAATTTCTCATACAAAATCAAGGCAAGCAGATTTAAGATTCCCATCTGGAGGTATTTATTCTGAAAAAAAAAATCTCAAATTCCAACTATCCTTACATCTCTTTCAAATCTCTGCATTTATAGACTTTAAATATTTACATAACCCCTATTAACTTGTTCCTGTTCATTTTCACTGATAGCAACAGAGAAAGAACATAAGTGGTATGAGTGGGAAAAGGCTCTTTGAGTCACGAGGTTCATATTGTTGGGTGGAGAGCATTAACTTTTAGGACTTACTCTTCAAATTAAATTTCATTTAGTTACAAATTTGGAGGCCTTCTAACACTGGCTGTTAGAGCTGTGCTAGCATAAGTGAAAATCTAGAGACAAAAGCACTTGGCCACTAACCTCAGAAAGCCTGCCTGAAGCTAAAATTACAAACTGCCAGTTACAACCCTAGGATGGATTTATCTTTTGGAAGGCATCAGACTTTGTAGAGTTAGAAACTTAGATATTTGTGACAGAGAAAACAAGCTATCTCAGGAAGAAAATCCACTCTTAGCAGATATATGTAATAAAGTTTCCAAGTTGATTCACAATAGAATTCAGCTTTGAAATTTTGGAGAACCAAATGTCCCATGAGGAAAGCCCCCCCAAATGTCCCTATGCACAAATTTTGAATGATGGTCATTACCATCAGGAGCGAAGCTTAAGAGAGAACACAGATGGATGGGAACCTTCTCAGTCTGAAACAGGGCTTTTACTCAAAAGGGAAATTGCTTTTAGTTTGCATTAGAGAAACCCAGCCAATATTCATGTACATGTACTGAAGGGGACATTTTCTCTACCTGGTCTTGGGCTTCCAAGCAGTAGCTCTTGGAAGTGGTTTAGGGAAATATCACTGAAGGACTAGCAGGGGATTCATGTTGTCAATGCGAGGTGATGCAGGATGGCACTGTTGACACAAGGATAAGGTAAAGTGCCTCTGAATATCAGAGAAACAGATTTCTTCAATAAGTAGATATGAAATATTAGCTAATGAAGACACAGCCTACAGGGTCTGGAAACTTATCCACCTGGTATGTATGTAATATTGCACAGATGTAGATAGAGTTTGAACACATTCTAGGAAGCAACTGCAACCCTGTAGACCCTACTCAACCATGTGTATGTAAGCTGCCTCTTGTTTCTCCCTCACAGGTTCCGGTTCAGTGGTAGGATCCTTGGTCTTGCACTAATACACCAGTATTTGTTGGATGCCTTTTTCACACGGCCCTTTTATAAGGCTCTTCTTAGAATGTAAGATATGTTTATGCTTGCATAATCAGCATGTAACATATAGTATGTACTATACTGAAGACTTTATGCTAAAGTCACTGTTTATCTGAACACTATACAAATTGGTTGTTAAGTGAATGGTGGTTTAGGTTTCAAAAACTAATATAATTTCAAAAATATGATTGTTATGCATCTGCCCCTTTATTTCTGACTACCCACCAAGATCACACTTTTGTTCTGCTCTGAAAACTTTATTCTCATTTGTTGCAACACATGTTTCTTTAAAACAATTGTACTTCAAACACAGCACTGAAATCCTTGTGTCATTAATGCTGATTATTAATAGTTGTGGATTAGTCTTGGTGACTCACAGACCCCCATTTTCATGAAGTGCATTTTGCATTTTGCTTTCTGTAAACCTCTAATGACTTGCTTTTGGTCTTATGTTCATTCTTTTGGTTTCATTTGTGTTTTATATTTGGTTTGTGTGTTAGGCGTAGACAGTGCCCGACTTTTCTTGAGATCTTCCTGTATCAAAATAGCAAAGTATTGTGGCAGATGCAAAATTAGCATTCATATAATTTTTTGCTTCATTGCTATCAGAATGAAAGATGGTGGTTAATGTACAATGTAGAGCAAAACCATTCCTTACAGTCAGTATATAGTCATTTACAACACTGAGTAAAAGAAGACAATGTTGGCGGTTGGGTAGACTCAAACAGAGTACTCAAGTACTGAATCATGGCTTGGAGCTGTCTGACACATCCCCTTGCCAAGTGTGTGGAACAGCTTTCTATGAGTGGAAGCCCTGATCTCCAATGAAAGCAAACAGAATGTTTCTTATAGACCTTCAGCTGACTCAGCAGAGACCTTCCACGTGGGCAGCAGGGACCATTCCCTCCTTCCCTAGCTCTCCCAGGCTCCCCTTGTCGCCTTCTCATTTCATGGTCTTGTCTCTCATAGTCTCATGTAAACTTTCTGTAAGCTGTACCCACTGCTCACATGTACTGCTGAGTCACACCTTCAACACATGCTAGTCAGCTTCTTTTCCATCACACACACATGAGGGCTTTTAAAGAATTCTTTTCAGTCCTATCTTATTAGTCCATTTTGCTGTTTCTGATACTGACAACCAACCCAATGCCATTTGTCCCCAAGTCTTTCCTTTCCTGGCATCTATGACACTGTGCTTTCCTACTTCCCTATTCCCCCTTTGTGGGCCTCTTCTCTGATTTGTCCTTATCCTTGGTATTTCAGAAGCTTCCATTCTGGACCCCTGCTTTCTTTTCTCAAAGGCTAACACAGGGAAACTTCTTTACTTTTCTCTTTCCCTATAAACTACCCAATCCAGCTTTCAGTCTCGTGTTGCAGGCTCACATGGCAAACAGTCTCCTGAACATTGCCACTTGAATGTTTCACAGGGACCTCAGATCTATGTAGTTAAAGTTGAAGTCAGTATGGGCCCTGATCCAAAAGTAAACCTTCTTCTGTGTGTCCAATTGAAGTTAACAAATGGTGCTCATGTTCTTGGTCATTCTATTTAGAAGTTGGGAGTGGACCTTAAGCAAGGTTAGAAAATGTACAGTGCCTGTTCTCTACTAGTATTCTCAATGTTGAGATAAAATACCTGATAAAAGCAAATTAAAGAAGGAAGGTTTATTTTGACTTACAGTTTCAGGGCTACAGTCCATCATGGCAAGATGGCAGGTCACATTGCATCCGCTGTCAGGAAGCAGAAAGAATACTCAGCTCAATTTCTCCTTTTTATTAAATGCAGGACCCCAGCCCATGGAATGGTGCTGCCCACAGTTAGGGTGGGGCTTCCTGCCTCTATTAACCTAATCTAGAAAATCCCTCACATACATACCCAGAGGTTTGTCTCCTTGGTGATTCTAGATCTGGGCATGTTGATAATCAATGTTAACCATCACACCATTCTTTCCTGTCTCTGTTCCCATTCCCATGAAGGAGTTTCAAATGACCTATGGTATTTTTCCTACTAAAATTCTGTGGCCTCAGAAATCTTTTGAGTTCATTTTACTCAAGGCTGTTAGTCAATGCTGTCAGCAGCATGGTTGGGTGGTCTAAGAGTGCCTATAAGAGCTGGCCTGTGGTATGAATTCATTTGCACCTATTTAAATATCCTTCTTTATAGTCTTTTCCAATTAAATCATTCACTGATTTCTAGGTGTCTGCCTCCATACTCTTGATAGCCCTGCCCTCATTAGAATGCTTATCCTACTTTGCATTAATGAAGTCCTCTATTAATTGATCTCCATCCCATTTAAATAATCTTCTTGGTATTTCCCAAAGGAACTGTTTATAACTCGCCTCTCACTTCTGATTGCATCATTTCTTGTCTTAAACCTGAATCACCAAGATCCTTAGAGTGACATTCAAGGCTCACTTTGTAGCCTCATTCTCAGGATACTAATATTGCCTTGTGGCTAATACTCAGGCTTTTCATATGCTTGGAGAATTCTATACTCTGTGCCTTTGCGGTTTGTTTCTGTTCTCTCCTCTGTTCTTTTCCTCTTTCCTCTAATCCACTCCCTTTTCTATCTCCAAATTTTGATCATCCTGCAAGATTTAAAGCAAGTATCATGGGATCTCAAAAGCTTTCCCTGAATGTCTAAGCCAAAGCAAATGCCCCTTTCGCTTGCTCTGATAGCTCTTTGTACTTGCATTTCATCTCACTCTTTTTAAAATTATTTTTATGTGTGTGAGTGTATTGCCTGCAATGTATGTAAGTGCACCTGTGTCGTGCAGTACCTGTGCCGTGCAGTACCTACGGAGGTCAGAAGAGAGTGTCAGATTCCTGGAACTGGAGTTACAGACACTTGTTAGCCACCATGTGGGTGCTAGGAACTGAACCCCGGGTCCTCTCCAAGAGTAGCCAGTGCTCTTAACCTCTAAGCCATCTCTTCAGCCCCCTCTCTCACTCGTTTTGAGACAGTTTCACACAGCCCAGGCTAACCTAAAACTCATGATCCTTCTGCTCCAGCCTCCCAAATGTTGGAATTGCAGACATTGATCACCATGTCCTGTCTTACTTTTAATTGAGAAGTAACATACATTTTAAAAATGTGCATGGATTTTTAAGCACTGTCTACTCTGTGCTGTCATATTTTATATTAACTGATTTACATGTGTGCCTCCTCCCCAATGAGACCATGAGCTTCTGAGAGCACCAAGTTCATCAAATAGTTATTAAGATGCCTACCACATATTAGATGCCTAGTAAATATTTAGAATAGATGAAACAACATCACCCTTGAAATTGAGCTGAGGGAAGGGAGATTTCAAAACAACTCTAGCAAATTAATTACTACTACCTTACAACAGGACACATAATAGTAATTCTATGTCAAGTAGATCCTGTCACTCTAATGAAAAATACAATGTGGGAAGCTATAGAAAACTTTTATGATTATAGAGGAATTCCTTGGCTTGCAATTTTTAGAATCATGAGGAAAAGCGAAGCATGTGAACATCAGTCTTAGTTTCTACTATTAAAAAAAAAGAAAGAAATGAAAAACAAAGGTAAAGTACAGTATAGAAATAGATAAATCAGAAGAATCATTTTTGATAGGAGAATGTAGCCAAAAAACATGCTGGGTCCCAGTTGCCAACCCTTCTTCCAGTTCTGGGTCTGAAGTTGATTGTGGATGGTCATGTAAATGGAGCCATTCTTTGTACCTTCTGGTTCTGTATTTGAAAGAAAAGAAAGATACGTGGTTTCTGTGGCATTTTATATATCCAGAATTTAAAATTTATACCACTATTCTGGTTTACTTCACTAGTTTTGTTAAGAACTTTCCAAGCATTACAGGCTATTAAATGGGTCTTATTCTTGTCACGAATGCTTAGTTTCCTTCCTCATGACTCTGGGGTTTTGCTAAAGTGAGGCCTGTGTGTTTGCTTCTGTTTCTCATCTTAGTCTGTGTGACCTGAGTGATCTAGAATACCTTGATGAAGAGTTCCACCAGAGTCTTCAGTGGATGAAAGACAATGATATCCATGACATCCTAGACCTCACGTTCACTGTGAATGAAGAAGTTTTTGGACAGGTCTGTTATGTGCCAACTGAAAGCTGTTAGTTGAAGAACAGTTAATTCTATGACTAAGATCAAATACTAGTTTATTTGGGGTGATTTACACCCAGGATTATTCAATTGTAGTGATCTCCAGTACAAGGACTATTCTAATCCCAACACGTCTTAAGGTGTTCTCATTTATAGATCATAAGAAGCATTTATATTGCAGTCTTTTTATTTCCAACTGAAATATCCACTAGCAATATGAGAACATGCTTAGTTCATACTAGGCATTAGTATTTGCCTGGGTTTTTTTTTTAATTTCATGTGTTTTGAAAAATAAGCTCTCAATTTAAGACTTTTTTGGGGTATGATTCTTAAGTAAATCTTTAATACTGGCTCTTTAGATGGAGGGGATTCTAAATCTTAGACACATTAGTGAAAGGGCATTTTACCAAACATTCAAACAGCAATTGGTGAAAAATCTTCATCTAACTCATCTTCATTTTTAAAAACTTAGTTAATTAGGACTTGAAATGTAACCATTATTCCTTGCAATACATTTTTTTTTTTAACTGCGGAGGCTTTCAAACATAAGCTCACTGCCTAGCTGTTAACTGAGTATCTCTTTAGGGGGCTTCACCACCTGCTTGTGGGATACACCTGGGGTAAAGCAGGGTCGGGTAGCTGATCTTAGCTCACTGGTAGCAGTGAACACTGAGTAGAGTATATTGTTTTCTGATCAGTTACTTTGTTAATCACAGATCACTGAACGAGAATTAAAACCAGGGGGTGCCAATATCCCAGTCACAGAGAAGAACAAGAAGGAATACATCGAGAGAATGGTGAAGTGGAGGATTGAGAGGGGTGTGGTGCAACAAACAGAGAGCTTAGTGCGGGGCTTCTATGAGGTAAAGACATCAGCAGTTTGCAATCTGAAAGCAAGGAGGCCACGTCCACTCTGCTGGTCTTCATGTGTAGAATATCCACATCTTCTGTTTTGCTGTACTTACTGTTGTTATCTTGATTTAAAGGGCAAATGTCTTCCTATATATCTCAATAGCACACACGTGAAAGCTTAATGTACCTGTTACAGGAGATTGCTGTGATGAATGTTATACTGATTACAAGTGGCATTTTAATACTTTAATGACTACAGATTACGTGGAAGTCATGGTTCTTACTCATGCTTAGGGACATGTAATCAAATCTCATGCTTGATATGTGCAAAGATTAGGGCCAGAATTTGTTACAACTATTCCATGTGATCTCTATAAGATCACTAGATCTTGTCAAAAGAAAAAGACAACAGCTAGATTAATCAGTTATGAAACAAAAATCCTCCCAACTAAGTACTAACCAAACCAAGCCCTGCTTAGCTTCTGAGATCAGAAGAGACCAAGTATGTTTTAGGGTGATATGACAATTGGCCAAAACAAAAATTCTAGTGAGGCTAATCTTACCAGCTTTCAACTAAAAACATACCTTCCGTTTGTAGAGAGTATTACAGGTTTTCAAGTGTTTACACACAGTACATCTATAGTAGCCCTGAAATTCCTTGTGCCCTTCATTCTATTGAGGCTTACTTGCAACCGGTATTTCTCCAGACTCCTAAGCTATGTCCTGTGCTTCTATTCCACAGGTGGTGGATGCCAGGCTAGTATCTGTTTTTGATGCAAGAGAACTGGAACTGGTCATTGCAGGCACAGCTGAGATAGATCTCAGTGATTGGAGAAACAACACTGAATATAGAGGAGGTGAGATTTGATTTATAAATGGCTGAATTTAACTTTCAAGTTAAAGGGAGGCATAATTCAAGCATGCTAGTCTAAGCCCAGAGCAGACAAAGGCCTTTGCACTAATCACAGGTCTGGTGTTGTTTTCCTTGAGACTTTGGGCAAGGTACAATCCCTTCTCTTCCTATGGACTTTATCAATCCGAAGGGGGAAGGACTGTTTACACTTCATCTGAGGATGTCATAACTCTTAATTGCTGGTGAAGAAATGTGATTATAAGAACGCCAGTTATTTGATGACATCATTGGCGAAGCATGGGGAGCTAACATCCAGCTGGTCAAACTCCACCTATTCCATTTTCATTCCAAAACTCCAAGAGCCACACCCTTCGAGCTTTCTAATCACCATGGGTTTTCTATAGTTATTGAACTGTTTATCAGTTGTAACTCATAATTAAAGCACTGACAGGAGTAAGACAATGTTCTCTAAATTCAGCATGCTTATCAGCAAACCCCTTCAAAATTCTAGTATCAAGTGCAAATGAAAAGGAAACTTGTAAAATCATCTTGAATGGGACTTGTTGGAAGTAGCTTGCTGTAGAACAGTACAAATTTTAGTTCATAACTTGGACCAGCACTCTTGGAGTTTCTTTGTTAAAGCTGAGTCCTGAACGATAACACAGAGTTAAAGTTTTTTCTGATAATTTTTTGCAGTGTTGGATAGTATTCAGAAATTCTCAACAAATACCAATTTTCTGGTATGGTTTTGTTTTTAAACTTAAAATGTAGATTACCAGTAGTTCTTAACTTGGATTGTGAAAAATATAAATTTTACATCATTAAGTATTAAGCACTTAGCTGAATAACTTGGTAATGGAGTAATTCTCCAATTATCTGTAGCTTAGCACAGAGATTTAGATTAGTAATAGCCAGGCATGGTAGCACACACCTGTAATCCCAGCAGTCAGGAGGCTGAGGCAGGAGGATTATGAGTTCTAGGCCAGCCTGGACTACATAGCAAGATTGTCTATAAATACAAAAAGAAACAGACAAACAAAATTTTATAAGTTTGGAGTGGAAAAAAAATGCTTTTGATTTTGCCTGTGCTTGGCTCTTCTAGATTTTCCTTGTTGTGTAGCTATTTTCTCTGAAAGGCTGTGTACAAGTTTCCATTGCTGCTATTTCTGAAGTCTGATTGTACAATAAGTTTTTTCTAACTGGGCTTGTATGTATAATATTTATAGGATGTGGGTTACGATAGCTTTGTCAGCCAAACTCTTTTCACTAAGTCAAATGTAATTTCCCTGATATGCTACATAACTTACATTTCATAGCATATATTATATCCTTGTTCCTTACTCCTTACTGATTCTAATAACAATGCAGTAGCCAAATTAGCCATTTTTGTATTTATACAGTCTAAAATTTTCGTTCACTATATCTGATTAATCGAGGACCTAAGTGAGATCCTTAGAGGACCGGATAAGGACAGCAGCACACTGAGCTTCATGCTTGCTAAGCTAACAAATTGGCACCAAATGAAAAAACGGCTGTGCTGCCACTTACCACATGTCCATATAGCAGCTGTTTGTGGACAGTATGGTGGGACAGTCATTCCTCCTTCAAAGAAGGTCAACACAAACAGCACAGGCAAAGCTGAAAGGGGCTGACCCATAAGGACACGAAACTTCAGTGTCTAAAACAGCCAATGCACTGAGTTTTACTCGTAACAGTCTTTGCCAATGGCTGGACCCTGTTCCCATGCCCAATCTAATGTCATTTATCCATAATTTGGATCTCTTTCTTCTGCAAGGGGAATATGTATGATTGATGAAAAGACAAAGCAGTAAGCTGAGGTTTCCCTTAAATCTTACAACTGTGGGCCATGAGGACACATTTGGATTAAATTTCATTTCTACTCACCTTCAGTTTTGGAGCACAGCACAGATTGAAAGTAGTTTTTGTAAACTGCAACTATCAATTGACTTGAATCATTAATTGAACTTTAATTCTTGTCAGTTTCTCCTAGAACTGAATTATTTTTTGCTGAGAGGTTTTAGAAAATATAATCTGGGCTTTAACCCAAATCTGTGTGATGATGCTTTTACATTTTATTACATTCTACTAAAGTATGGGATAAAAGTGAAATTTCTGATAACTAACTAGGATTTATTAGTTGAAGAAATTAATGATCTCTTGTCCCTGTCTATTAATAAGTCAGCATGAAAGTAATTTGGCTTTATTTATTTATTTTTATTTCTTTTCGAGATGCTGTGGATTGAACCCAGGGTTGCCACTGAGCAACACACCCAGTCCCAAAAATTTGGTTTTCAAATATCAATGCTATATGTAGCTTTGGGGAGTGGGGGAGGTTGAACTTTTTTTTTTGGTCTTTTTGAGACAGAATTTCTGTGTAGATCCAGCTGGCCTGGAACTCACTATATAGACCAGGCTGGCCTTGAACTCACAGAGATCCACCTGCCTCTGCCTTCCAAGTGCTGGGATTAAAGGCTTGCACCACTACGCCCAGCCTGAAATATATAACTTAAAAACCTTTCAATTTTGTTTCTTCATATAAAATTATGTGATTGCCGTGCCTCTCCGTCAAAAGCCCTGTGAGGGTCTATTTTCTTTGTCATTGAGCTTCCATGTACAGTACTTGACCTAGTGCTATTTGAAAATTATTTCTTATAGAAATAACTGAAAGAGCTAAGCATTTCCCATAACAGCAGTTACATTTTTCAGAAACGATACAGCTAAAATCACTCATTTGTTCTTCTTCTTACCACTAGTTTTCATTTAGTGGTCGCTGAGTAAAAATGGAGACCTCTTGGTTTCATTTGGGCTGTTTTTGTCTAACTTTTGATACTCATGTGAACATATTTACAGTGCTTTTCCTTGGTCTTAAATTATAAACACTGCTTGAAGAATCCAAGATGATGATTTGTGTCTGGGGAGATCTTCTGTCACTTTCTTGGTGGTTTAATATAGAAGGGTCAAAATAACATGGGCTTTCATGATTGATTTTGTAGGGTACCATGACAATCACATTGTAATTCGGTGGTTCTGGGCTGCAGTAGAGCGGTTCAACAATGAACAGAGACTAAGGTTGCTACAGGTGAGATGCCATTATTTCATTTTTAGCACAATAATATAGTGTTGGAAGTGCATATATTTTTGTAATTACTAAATATTCTTCACAAATATAAACCTTGTTTCTCTAAAAATTCAGGTTATACCATTTCTGTACCTTTCTGATCATGTAGCCATGTAATTTCCTCACCAGCCAAATCAAAGTATTTCTTGAGAGTGTTAGGGAAGTACCAATACCAATCTGAGAATCCCAGGACTGACATATGTCCTCAAGACAGTTGTGTTTTGCAGTGACAGGCTGTGGTACCTACCCTGCAGTCAGTATCCTTTGCAGCAGGAGAGAGATGTTGTTTAATACCTTAAAGAGGAACACTGTTTATTGATAAGGTCCTTTTTCTTTATCTTAACTCTCCATAAAATTTTATTATAAGAACTCATTATTTTTTGTGTGTGACACTTATAAAAAGTCATCCAGGGCTGTTACTGTTAGTTACAGCTAAAGTACTGGACATGGGGAAACTGCTTGTATGCTCAGGCAGAGCCTTACAAACAGACTTGGTCTTTGCACCTCAGATTTGCAGGTCTTCGGAATCTACTGATTGTTCCATGCCTACACAGCTTTGTCTTCTGAGCTTTCCTCCCCACAATCCCTCCAGCTTCACCTTTGCCTTCTGTTTCTTGTTGACAGTTTGTTACAGGCACATCCAGCATTCCCTATGAAGGATTTGCTTCTCTTCGAGGGAGTAATGGCCCAAGAAGATTCTGTGTGGAGAAATGGGGGAAGATCACAGCTCTTCCCAGGTACGGTAGAAAATAAACATTTCTTGACTCCTACCACAGTGCAGGGGAGACCTCAGTTTATTATTTATACTTTTATTATTTATATTTATACATAGCTTAATCACTGGTTTATGTGAAAAATTGGGAAAACTGAAAAGTTTGTAGGATTAATTTTTCTCAGAATACTTACTTTTAATTTTTTTTTTTTTTTTTTGCGGGGGGAGAAGGCTCTCTCTGTAGCCCCAGCTGGCCTAGAACTCACTTTGTAGACCAGGCTGGCCTTGATCTCACAGAGATCTGCCTGCCTCTGCCTCTGCCTCCTGAGTGCTAGGTAATCCTTTAATAAGGCATATACCACCATGTCTGGCCCTCAGAATGCCTTATTAAATAAATGGGTTAAGACAAAAGATCTTCCTGGCCATACTTAAAATGTATAAATCTGTATCTTAAAGTTCAAAGCACAGCAAAGACAGAACATCTGCTGGCTTCAGCAGGGCAACAATGGCCGTCAAACTTGTAGCTAGAATGTAGATGATACCAGAAGTTCGAGTTTAAGGTTATATTATTAACTACTTAGAATCACTTCATCAGAAATATCTTGTGGGTAAAAAATATTAAATCATGTGAATATGCTGTGTACCTCTCTAGTCACAGTACCCATGCCTTCATTCCTGTGAATGCTCTCTGCACTGGTCTCTCATAACAGTATCATGCATTTTCTTAGTGTGGATAAATGTTACTTTACTGCTGCTACTAATAAATATACAAGACTGGAAAGGTAGTTCTTCTGAAGAACAGAGTGTTTAGTGAGGTGGCAATAACTTCCAGCCGAGCAAAAGAATAGGAGGAAGAAACAACAAAAGAGAAATGGATTTCCTTTATTCAATCAGCAATCAGCAAGAATATTATACAATTTGTTTATTATGAGACTGAGTCTCTGGTAGTCCAGGCTAGTTTTGAACTTGCTGTGTAGCCAAGATTACCCTTGAATTTATGATCCTTCTGCCTCTACCTAACAAGAGCTGGGATTATAGGCATGTGTCACCATGCCCAGCATCCTATAGAATTTTTGAGGCTATAAAAGACCTCAGATTGCCTCCAGTTTAATAATAAAGGTGTAATTTAGAGAGGTAAAGTGCTATTGTGTACCCCAAAATATCATCCTAGATTTGTTTAAGAGATGTGACTTTGAGAAACTTGTTAAATTAGTGATACAAAGTCATATTCAGTGCCCAAAGACATAAGCACAAGTTTAAGAACAACGGACTTAGAAGTCTTTCAAAGACTTTGCAAGACACTAATTTTTCATAATAATTATTTCTTAGCATCAACAGACTTTTTAAAAAGGTGGGATTATTGAAAATACAGATACAGAGAGCAATGACTAGTGCGAATTCAGGGACTGGCCTGAGCTCCTCACCTACCAGTGCACATCCCAAACTGTGAACGGTGACACTGCAGCACAGACCTCATTAGCATCCTGCATATTTTATGTGCCAAATTTGGGAGACTGTAATTTCATTATTTAAAGAACTAGTTTATTTTACTTATGCTTGGGCAAAGGCATGCATACTGTCTTAATAAGGTTTTTCACTCTTTTGAGAAACTTAGGAATTAGCATAGAAGAATCAGGAAATGACAGATTGTGTACCACTTTTCTATTGCCACAGAAATCTATTTCTATAAAGCCACAAAGCATGTGGAATTGACTATAACAATAAACAGATATATCAGCTACTCACATTTAATCAATGGAATTTTCATAAAACCTGTTGAGTAGAGAAAATGAATTGGGTACAGCCTTGTATTGAGGATTAACTGAAATCATTCACATAAGATACCTCTGTCTCTGGTCCTGAGTTTGGTGCTGTCTATAACTGTAATGTCATTATCATCTGCAGTACATATCAGACAGTGGCATATTGAAACAAGCACAGGGCTGGAAGTTAGGAAACCTGGACTCCAGTTCCACCCCTGCCACCATCAGACTCTGGGACCTTCAGGACCACTGGCTCTCTGAACTTTATCTGTAGATGGCTGGAGGGACTGGCATGTTAGGTTTGGTTGGGTAAGAGGTAACACCAAAGGGTTGCAGAAGTTTGTTGGAGGTTGTCTGCACTGACATCTCTACTTCCCTCTGGTAGTTCCAGGAAGTTCTCATGCTGACTAATTGTAGATGGTCATGTTCCTCAATAACATTGCAAGTAGACAGTTGGGTAACTGCATTGCCATTTCTTCCTCGCTTCATGTGCAGCTACACAAATAAAGATGATTTATCCATCTCTGTGAAATAGGAATAACAATGCCAAGCCAAGAAAATATGTCTAAAACTTGAGTGTGTTTATGTATTTGAAGGGATAGTATGTTTTCTTGGTGCGTTTTAAACCTCTTATCCTGAATCTGTAGACACTGTATTACTCAGTTGAAATGTGCTACACTGACAACACGAACATACACACAAACATATACATAGAGACAGAGAGAGAAAGAAAGAGATAGCATTAAACATAAAATGAACTTGAATGTTGACAGTATAGTTTTATCAGAACTAATTTCTTCACTGACAGCTTGGCCAGTGAAATGGGAAGTGTCCTTGAGTGTAAAAAGATCTAAAAGTTGATCCAATCTAAAGACATTATTTTATGCAGGCTATTTCTCCAAAACAGATACACTCAAGCTGTTTTCCTGCCATCCCCCCAGCACCTGTGAGTTGCAAAGCTGAGGAACTGGTCTGTCTCAAGCTAGTCAACTCCAATGCATTTCTTTTCCCTCTTAATGATTCTGTGTCTAACTTTTAAGATGGGACATTGTACATATGTACTGGAAAAAACGGATGGATATCCTCCTTTTAAAAAAAAAAAAAAAGTCTCTTCTGACAAGTCGGATACCTTCTTAGCATGGAAGGCTGCAGCCAGCAGAGCGGGGAGGGGTAAAGGTGCCAGCAGGCTGTCCTGGCAAGCCAGGGCCATGACAGAGATAATTCAGAGCCCTTCCAATCTTCCAAGTGAGCAAGTGTGAATCTTACTCTTAGATTTCCTACTCTCATTTTGCAGCAGCTCTGGGTAACCCTGGTCACAATGTGCCCCAAGAAATATATTAAAATACATAGGTTGTCTCCCAAGCCTGAACACATTGAATGCTAGACTCTTACATTTTTCCCTTCTGTGGTTGTAAAGTAGTGACCTAGCTGATAAATAATGATAGAGACATACTCCGGGTGTCTCCATGGAGACAGACAGCCTGAACCCAGTACTGCAGTTCCTCTGCTTTGTGGTTAGTGGTTGGGCTCACTCTGCATTTGCATTTCTGTAGAAGACTTCCTAACCCCTGGGGCTCTGATGGACTTTATGAGAAGAGGGTAAACTCACTTTATGGCATTTCCTCTTAAGCAGTCCAAAAAACAGACTGTTGGCAGGCCAGTCTGCGGAGTATAGGGAGTCCTCCCATTGTGATCCACTTCCTACTTCATCTGAGGCTTTTGCCTGTGGGGATGGAGCAGAAGAATGAGAAAGTGACAGTCACTGGGGGGGGGGGGGGGCGGAGTTGGTTTTAGCCAAGGGGAAAAAGATGTTAATTTATTAAACTAGCTGTGCCAGGAGATTACTGAATAAAATATCAACCCAAATTAAGAAATTAAATGTAAGAGTTCATTGGGCAACGGGTAACTTAAAGAGACAATCTTGTACAGAGGAATAGAACTGTTGTTTTGTGATATTTGAGACAGAATCTCACTGCAAAGCCCGGACTGACTTTGAATGTGCAATTTCTTGCCTTAGCCTCATGAGTGTAGGGATCATAGACATGTACCATGCCCAATGAAATAGAACTGGAAAAAAATACAGTTTTTTTTAAAAAAAACAAGACCCATGGGGCTGGAGAGGTAGCTCAGCAGTTAAGAATACTGACTATTCTTGCAGAAGACCGGGTTCATATTCCAGCACCCACATGGCAGCTAACAACTGTCTGTAACTCCAGTTCCAGGGGATCTGACAGCCTCTTCTGTCTTCAGCAAGCATTGCACGACATGGGTGCACTTACCTACATGCAGGCAAATAAAAATAAATAAAATATTAAATAACTTCAAAAACTATTTTTATTTTATGAGTATGAATGTTTTGCCTGCATGTGTGTAAGTGCACCAGTATCATGGTAATGGCCTGGGAGGACAGAAGAGGGCACTGGATCATCTGAAACTGGAGTTTGGGGTGGTTGTTAGCTGCCAATATGTTCAGTACTGAGATAAGCTCTATTAACACGTTGGAGCATCTGTTTTCACCCACTTCTTCAGATACCCATACATGTGCACACATGCATACATGCACACAAATTTGAAGACAATAATTATACTGCATAATCTGTTTGTAACCTGCCTTTTGTTTATCACACCATTAATCAGGAACATCTTTCTGTGTCTGTGTCTTTAAAATACTGTTCTACCATATCATCAGTAATTCAGTTTTTCTGCCTCTGGTGAAAGTGCATTGTCTACTGTTAAAGAGAACTCTCAGCTAGTAAATAGCAAAGTAACAGAGGAGTCCTGAAGGACAATGCCCCTTTACTCAACTGAAAAAATAAATCAAACAAAGATGTGCCTGGAAACACCCTTCTGTGCTGTTTCCTTTCTCTGTCTGCCTTGAAGCATCCAGTTGCTGCTGTCTGAAGTAGCTGTTGATGTGGAGGGGAGTTGGCCATACTTTTCTGATAGTTTTATCTCTAATACAAGGACCCCCTCTTCAACTCTTTTCCCCTATATCCTCCCATTGAATTCTATGTAACACTAATATTTAGAGCTTTTGCATAATTCTGCCATATGTTGACCCCAAAATGCCATACTAAAATATGCAAATGTGATAGATCTTTGGATTTATCTTTACTTTGGAAGATGGTAAATTTATTACAAATAGATTGCAAAGCCAGGCATGGTGGTGCAGATCTGTAATTCTAAAAAGCAAAGGCAGGAGGATTGAAAGTTCAAGACCAGCCCCAAAGTGTCCCTGCCTCAAAATGGAAACGAAAGTCTA